ATCAATATATATTTTTTTTAATTGCAATAATATTGCAATTTTATTGGCCAATATTGCCAATAACTTGCAATGGATTGGCAATATATTGGGCAATAATATTGCAATATTGACAATAAAATTGTAATAATATTGGACAATATCTTGGGCAATAATCTCGCAATAAAATTGCAATTACATTGGGCAATAATCTCGCAATATTGACAATAAAACTCTTTGCAATTTTATTATCGTCTAGCAGCAGCGCTGAAAGTTGACATTTGAAAGAAACATTTATGTACACTTTCAATTCATACTAAATTCGAATTTTAAAAATTGAATAAACAACTAAATTTAGAATAAATAAGATGGTGTATTTATTTAACACACAAAACATACAAAACACATTACAGATAGAATGGGGGGGGGGGGATAAGCGAAAAACGCTGACAACCCCACACCACAAGAAAAATGTCACTCATTTGTTTAGTCTTCAAACTTTTGTACTACTTTTATTGTCTCGGAAAAATTGATTAATACTCGCCCGAACAACACGCCAGTTGTAAGACGTAAACACTTTGTCAAGTGCACCTTTAACTTCCTGAATTTCTTCATTCTCCATATGAATGCGTGCAGTAGGTCCGTTTGGTTCACAAATACGCGTGCAAGTAAACTCCTTTCCGAATCGCAACAAAATAAATTTTCTTGCAAAGCTACATGGTTCTCGTTTTTGAATGTCGTGCAATTTAAATTCGGCATCAAAACCAGTATACACGGCCTAAAAAGTATAATACAGATAAGTTCGGATTTAGTAAACATTTTTCAATGGATGGTCAAATTATGCAACCTTTTGTATATAAATGTACCTTTCCTTTAGCAATCAATATTTCTTTTATTCAATTTGGTAAATACTAGCAAGTTGTGCTCTCATTGGATGAGCTTTTTTTAATTAAATTACAAAAATTAAATTGACTTACATTATCATTATTTACAGATTCTTTTTCTATTGGGCGCAAAATTTCAGACAACAGTTTGTTGGTCTTCTTTTGTTCAAAAAGAGGTTTCTTTTGTTCAATCAAAATTGCTAATGTTAAAAAAAATATATAGCACTTCTATGTACAAGTACAATATGGTAGAACTTAGGCAAACACAGTATTCATACTATAGGACTGTAACTAACCTTCTAAACAAGATAGTTTGCTTAACTTCGGTGAACCACAGTGTTTTGTTTTAGGAACATCACTAATTATTGGAAGCATCAATGCTCTGGGAGCATCAACATTGTCAAGTAGCATGTCAAGCTTCCGCTTTTCCAAAGCCATAATCTGTGCTTCATTTTTTTTAGATCCTTTTTGACTGTTATAAAATGATGCAAAGGACTCTGATTCTATAAATGAAAAAGACAATAAAAATATGTTCAAGAAATTACATAAACAAAATTGTAATATTATTAAAATTACCTGAATTTTCATTCAACACTTCATTTACATGTTTTTTTTTCAGCACCTTTGATTTAGGAGTCGATTTATATTTAGGTCCGTTTAGGCCTGTATGTTCTGAGACCGGTGCAATATTCTCTGAATCTATAAAAAAAAACATGAACAAGTTGTGGTTACAAACATATAATCATGGGTGTACTAGGGGCTAGGCTACTAGTGGATCCAATAGATCCCCACCTACCATCGGATAGTGCAACTTTAACTTGTGTTGATAATTTTTGTGTGAATTTTGTGTCATTTTTTATTATTTAGCAAAAATGTTTAATTAATTATTACTTGTGTAGCAGACATAATAACTAAACTCTGTCTGGTAACAAAGGTAACCTCCTTTTTTTTGATCCAGGGTGCTATTGCACTCCGGCACCATGGTCCAGTTCACCACTACACAGAAGAGTAAATTTTAAATAAAATTACTATAATATTGTCTTGTCATTGTCACATATTTATATTACATAAGTTACCTGAGGATTGGTCTCCATCAGAATGTTTTCTTTTTCCGTCAGTATTGCTTTCAATATAATTGAGGGCAAACTTGCTTACTTCATCAGTGCTAGAATTTTCATCACCAAAATCGTCCATGAAGTTATCTAGCAATGTTTCAAATTTACAGCATTGGGTAATAGACCCCTTATAGATGATGACAGCTGCGTGTTGTATATTTGCAATAGAAACATGCACTACATTTTTCTAATAAGTAAAAAACATTAAATTTAATTATCAACACACCATAAATAGTATAATAAAAGCAGGGGCTTCCATTTTTCAACATCCCTAAAAAGTGGGCATCTAAAATACTTGCTTCCATTTTAGGGTGGGCTTCTATATATTCAGCTATGTAAAAAAACAAAAAAAACATTTTTATCTTATTCATGGGCATCTAAAATACTTGCTTCTATTTTAAGGTGGGCTTCTATATATTCAGCTAATAGCTGATAGCTGATATATTCAGCTAATAGCTGGTATGTAAAAAAACAAAACAAAATTTATCTTCTTTGTCAATTATAGGGGGGGGGGGATAAAATTTAAGGGTGGACTTTAATTATATTATGTATGGTAAATGCTGTCATTTTTTTTTAACACACTTACCACTTGAAATTCAAGGCATTCAAAGGATGAATAATGCTTAAAAAGTGTATTTGAAAGTGATATGGGAGAGGTATGCCGCTCATCTTTTTCACAATCCTTGTACCATAAAAGAACAAAAGTAGAAGAAAGCTTTTGAGTGTCTACAAAATCTAATTTCTTTGTTCTATTTCTATCAGGGTAAGTCATTATTTAATAAAATATAAACCTGTAAAAAAATTCAATCAAATTATCAAATTATTTTAAATCAAATTATCAAAATATTAAAAACAAAAATGTTTGTTAGTATAAAAAAACACACATGCATGATGTGAAGCATATTTATTAATTACAAAATTTACATTTAGCCACCCTAAGCATATTCGAAAAGTTCTTTCAATGGTGTCAAAATTAATACATCTTTTGTATCTAATTTACTTTTAATTAACATACATTTGCAGACTAAAGTGTCAGCTGAAATAACAACAATGTTTTTTGTTTGTTCAACAATAAAAAAAAAGTCATCATCAAAGTTAATTTCCAAATTTCCAATCATATCACCAAAAGTAGAAACTAACTTACACTTCACATTCAATAGTTGTAACTGAACATGTATTACATTGTCAACTAAAGGAAAATCTAATATGATACCACACTTATTATGTCCAAATTGACAAGTGTAGCTGTTATGTTTGCCATAATCTTTTGAATGGTAAACAATACCATGTTTTAACAATCTGCCCGGAATTAACAACTGCAATTCTTCTTGTTCAATAATGCCAATATTTAATGCTTTACAAACTTCAACTTTTTTAGGATGATCTGTTGTTTGCAAAAAAACAAGAAGCTGTTTTGAAGTCAAGAAATTTTTGTACAATCTGTTGTGGATGACCATGTGTTCCCTTCATCATTTTTTTATAATTACTTAGCCGAGCTTCAAAACAAAGCATTGAGTAATTTGTAACACTTCCATGCATTTTAATAATATCGCTAACATGACCAAGCAAATGAACAATTATAGTATTTATATATAAAGGAAGCAACTCAGACAATGATTTTTGATAAAAGTTAAACAGCTGACTAATAAGCAACACCTTATCTAAACATATTTCACTGCTACACAAACGCATACCAATTACTAGAGAATAAATCATCATCATGCAGTCAGGATTCAAATATGGTAAAAAATATGGAACTGCTAAGTATAAAATAAAGTTTTTAAAGTCATGGCCTTTCCAATGTGTGAATGATTTAATAGTTAATGGCTTGGGCATGTTATGTGGCATTTTTTGATCAGCAAGTAAGATTTCCATAGCATTTAATTTTGCACTACCAATAAAAAATGATTCGTGTTTATTGGTAACAGAAAATAAACAAACTAAAAGCTTTTTTGAGCAATTTTCGTAAAACAAATGTAACACATCAATAAGTATCATATCTGGCACTTTAATAAATGAAATGTCACTAAAGATGTTTGAGCCTTTAATTCCAAATACAGATACTTTTGATTTTTCGGCTAATCTAGCATATATGGCATACATTTCAGATGTTTTAAGATTATAATTTGTATCTGAATGTGAATAAATTCTAGCGGAACCATGTTTTCTTTCAATTGTTCTACCAGGATGTTCGCAATAGTGACATCCAAATTCACTATTATACTGCTTATGATTGATGATTGAAGCCACTGCAGGCAAATCGAAAACAAAACCAACAATATGAATAACTACTTGGATATTGTTAATTTCAAGGGGTGTTTCAAACAGTTTTCTATTGATGTACTCCTAAAAAAAAGTTAGTAATATAGTAACGTTGCCCAATTTATTCTTGTCACGGCTGGAACACTGAATTCTACTACTATAGGTAATTCCATTGACAACTACTTTTAAAATAAAAAATAACAATCAATAATTTAATTACCTTTAAATAAGCATTCCAATTAGGTTTTAATAATGAGAACCATAAACCAAGAAGTAGTGTATTTTCAAATAGGAATCGTTTATAAGATGGTAAATCTAAAATAATAGCATGAAATGGCCACATTGTAATCTTTTTTTTTGTGTATGGTTCTCCACCATCTGTTGACATCAATAAATGAATATGTAAAACATTTGCAGACTTCATATTTTCAACAAAATTTGGTCTAGAAATAAAATCACTCTTTCTTTTACCTGACATAATTTCCAATTGATATGATTTAATTGCATCCAAATTCAGAAATAAAACAAGTTTCATTTGGCTAATGATATCCAATATAAAGATATGGGATGAACAATGAGTATTTATTTTACACGTGTCAACTAAAGCTGTGCAGCAATTATGACAATAATATTTATGCGTTGGTTCAGTATGGGAGAATATATTTTTAGTAACAAATCTACGAATCATTTTATGAGATGACGGCATGTCATTTATACAGCGAAAAATCTATTAAAAAAATTTAAAAATTAAAAATATATTTTTTCAAGCTTTATCAACCAAACTAAGCCTGGGCCAGACCCCAGCCTCAAGTTGTAATAAAAATATGACATACTTCATTATTTTTATAATTTAATAATTTGTAAAAAAAATAATTTGTAAAAACTATAGATATAAAATATATAATATATAATTGTAAAATATTATATAATATATAATTTGTAAAAAAAGTCGGATAAAATTTTCACAAGTAAAATGTTTTATAATTAGGAACGTTCTGCATTACTTTATCAGACTTTTTTTACGAATTATTGGCAATGTGCACCATTTCTGGTAGCAGCCAGAGATAAATAGCCAGATCAACATTTATTGCTAAGAACTAAGTTGATTGATAATTTTATTAGCTTCACAACATTCATTTACAAGTACATTGCACAATTTAAACTACATCTAACATACCAGCAAAGTCTTCAAAAATCTATCAAATGCGATTTCAGTAAATGAATTGCTAATCATTAAATACAACAAGGTTAAAAACATAAACTTTTTGTTAACAATTGAATCCAATAAAAAACATTCAAATGGATTAGAACTAACCCAGTAAGCACAAAGACGTTTAAAAGACGTTTTAAAGATGTCTTTAAGGAGGTCTAAAAGGCGCACTTGTAGACGTCTAGATCATAAGGCTAAAAGACGTCTAAATGAAGACGTCTTTATAAAAACGCGTTTTAGACGTATTTTAAACGTTTTTTTTGAGATAAATTCAAGTACATGACGTAACATTTTTGCGCAGTATGTGGTATAAATTCATTGTATTTATGACATCATATATAGTTTTAATTTCGTATATACAAAATATATATAGGAACCAGCAATAAAAATAATATTGCTGTAATCACCACCAACGGTTGATGCTTCAAAGATGAAAATGATCACTAACATTAACAAATATATATCATAACAGTGTATAAAACATTTATAACTTACTTTTAGTTTTAATAAATCTTATCCTACGTATTGAAAGCTAATTTTTGACCGCATATTTGATTATTATATGGCTTGTGGGTGTATAAAAACTTAAAATACTGATATTTAACTTATATATTATTCTTGCCATTTTCACTTATTATCATGATCAGTCAACTATCTATTAAAAAAGCAAAATAATTATTAATAAAAAAAAGATATATTAATATTATAGCAATTATTTTAGTGATTCCTGTGACAACAATTTTAGCAATTGTGTAAAAAAGTAATTTAATTTAAAGTAATTTACACTTAAAACTTGAACAAATTATTGAAAATAATAAAAACTATGTTTTTACTTTGAATATACGACATCTACTTAACGCGTAATGACAAAGCCGTCAAAAAGAAGTCATAATGACATATTTATAAACAGGTCTCACAAAAGACGTCTTTTAGCCTTGATCTTGACGTCTTTTAATGCGTCTTTTAAACTATTTATTATGCGTCTTTTAAACGTCTTTTTAAACTTTAAAAAGACGCGTTTTAAACGTCATTTTAAAATCGCATTTATTAAAGACGTCTAGAAGATGTCTTAAAAAAAGATATCTTCTAGACGTTTTTTAAACGCTTAAATAGACGCCTTTTAAACGTCATTTTAAAAACGCCTTTATAAAAGACGTCTAGAAGATGTCTTAAAAATTGACGCCTTCTAGACGTCTTTTTATCTTTTAAAAAGACGCCTATTAAACGTCATTTAAAAAACGCATTCATAAAAGACGTCTAAAAGATGTCTTTAAAACGTCTATAAAAGTGCGTCTTTAACTAGACTAGTTTTAGACGTCTATAAGTGTCTAAAATGCGTCTTGTGCTTACTGGGAAAGAACTGAAACATGGAAGCACTCGATTCTTCCTCAGATACTAGAATTTGATTTTCTTCCTCAGATACTATAGATACAATTTCTTCTGTCTCTTGGGTAAAACTACCATCATTAACATTATCATCTGTATTGCTACAGTCGGACTGAGAACTACTATTAGTAATTTCCTCTTCAGAAGAAGTAGACTCAGCCGTAAAATGTAAAGTTCTTCTCTCGTACTTTCTATTAGAAAAATTTCGTTTCATTGCACATATATTCACCATTAATAAAATTTTATGAGTCTTTACTTATAAATAACTATGTTATTTTTGCACGGGTATCTTGTGTGACCAGACAGGTTTGCTGGGCTCATGCAAGCCATGTCTAACGTGCGCCGAAGAAACCTGCCTGGCCGCACTTACACTGCAGTATAAAGTCCAATGAAAGCATGCTTTTAACTTCAGTTACAATCATAAAATCGATTACCTAATATTAGTTGCAATAATATTGCAATAATATTACAATTATATTGCAATTATATTGTAATATTTTAACAACAATCTTGCTACTGCTTATAAACCCATTAAATTTATGTAAAACAAAAAAATGACACAGGCAATTAGATAAGCATCAGAATTATTTATATATAAATGCATCTAAATTACATTTACAAACACATTACATTTGTATAATTTTATTGATATTTTATTGGACAATTAATTGAGCAATATATAGCAATTTAAATTGAGCGCGCAATAATATTGCAATATGTTGTAATAAACCGCAATATATGTCGATTAGTGGGGTAATTGCCGTTATGTTTAATACTTAACATGTATGAAAATAACATAACGGATTTAGCGTTATGTTTAGTCATAGCAAAATTGCCTTAAACATAACGGTTACATAACGCTAATTTACCGTTATGTGCGAGGAAAACTCCCGTTATATAACGGGTAATTACCCGTTATGTTACCGTTATGTTGAAAACCTAACATAACGGGTAATTACCCGTTATGTTACCGTTATGTAAAATGAAAATTATTTTTTTAAAGAAACGCATATTCTGCATGACTATTTGCACAAAGTACTTAACAAAAAAACATTTTTTTGTCAATAAAAGTTGTAATAAGAAAATAAAAATTATACAGTTTCATATCATAATATATTTATATTATACTATTTATAATAATCATGAAAATTATTTACAAAATAATTGAATAAATTATTTACAAAATAATTGAATAAATTATTTACAAAATAATTGAATAAATTATTTACAAAATAATTCAATAAATTATTTACAAAATAATTGAATAAATTATTTACAAAATAATTCAATAAATTATTTACAAAATAATTGAATAAATTATCTACAAAATAATTCAATAAATTATTTACAAAATAATTCAATAAATTATTTACAAAATAATTCAATAAATTATTTACAAAATAATTGAATAAAATAACGTATTAAAATTTATAAATTCAAAAGTAATTTGCATTGCTTTGAAAAGATTGCAGAAGAAAAATGCATTTTTTAGATAATAAAGCCAATTGCAAAAAGTCTCAAATACCTTGCTAACATCACAGAAGCCACCCAAAACAAGAATATGTCAAATCTAGCAAATAGTAAACAAATGTACTGATCAAGGTTTGAACATCCATTTCGACACCTCTTCAACTCCTTACATCATATTCTGTTTTATTAAAGATAACTTTTGGACCATTTAAACTTTGGCATAAGTATTCATGTAGTGAATCACACTAAAATTTTATAAAAAAAAAATAATTAAATAACAAAATATCACAATCATAAAATAAAAAATTATTATTAATACATTAAATGGAAAAAAAGAAAAAAGAATGTGAACCATTGCAATACAAAATATGCTTACCATTAGTTAAAATGTCAGTAATATTACAAGCAATAACAATTTTCTTTCCCCAAGAAATTTGACAACGACAGCCTTTATTATTTTCAAGTATTAACTATTGAAGAAATAAGTAAAGCAGTTATTATTAGTTTATACTACTTTAATTTTACAAATAGTATATTTAACATTTTTTAATACTTGCAATATAATGTTAAAAACAGTAATAATAAACAGACAGGTCAGACGGTAAGAGGTAAACACCATTATTACACAAGTATTAAACAACATTATTTGGCACAATTTCATTAGTTTAATAATACTACACTAATTTATAATATATTACTAGAAAAAATTTATTATAAAAATATCATATAATATAATACAATAATCATACTATTATAGTATAAAGTTTATATATCATAAGCATATAATAGGGTCATTCCATGTAAGATGAGCCAAGCCTTCTCACGTGACAATGTTTTATTTTCTTGAATGTATACCTCCTGTAGGTTTTATGGACCAAAAATATTTCTTCAGAATTTCAACTTAATAACAAATAATTTTTTCTTTCAAAATAATTTCAAATATTAAAGACTTAGTCTATTTCAGGGAACTTATTGGTCAATTTACGAACCGAAAATTGGCACAATATACAGTGAACTAAAAATTTGAAATTTTTAGGTATGCATCTTCAATACAAGAAGTATAAATGCAGCATAAACAAATTTGGTGTTTTTTGTGGTGCTGAGATATCTGAACAAAATAGCATTATAAAACTCAAAATTCACTATTTTGAATTTGTTTTATAGCCAATATCTTTAAGAGGGATCAATTTCCATTTTTCCGATTTCCAAATAATTCCTCAAACTAACCTTGAACATTTTTATGATAATAAAATTTTAATTAAATAAAAATAATTCATGCAGTTATACCTTAATATATTTATATTAATACCTTAATATATTTATATTAAATCATTTTTTATAACCAAGAAAATAATTAAACAAGTTAACTTTGATAAAAATTAACATTAATAAAGTCAAAAGTACTTTGCATTACTATGAAAAGGCTGCAGAACTAAAATAAACTTTTTAAATAAAAAAACTTATTGCCCAAATCCGCAAATATCTTGGAAGCCTCCCAGAAGCTGCCCAAAACAAGGATACGTTAAATCTAACAAATAAACAGCCATGAAAATGACATTATATATATTATAATTATATATATGCATATATATATATATATATATATATATATATATATATATATATATATATATATATATATATATATATATATATATATATATATATATATATATATATATATATATATATATATATATATATATATATATATATTAACAATAGATGCCATGGCATTTATTGTGAGCAATCAAAACAAACCAATCAGTTATGGGCTTCAGAATCAAATATACAATAAATATATATTAATTAACAACCAAAATGCTGTTTTATAGCTAAGTTACTTAGTAAGTGGTAAATACCGTATGTAAATAAATAAGTAAACTAAAATAGTAGAGACATTATAAACAAAAAATCTAATTGCAAAAATCCTTTAGATTTGCGCCATTTTGTAAACATAACGGTTAAACATAACGCTTTACAAAAATCATACAAATAGTTTTGGGCATAAAGCTTTAAACTTAACATAACGCTAACATAACGGTGAACATAACGCCAAAATTTTCAATTACCGTTATGTAACCGTTATTTTAGCGTTATGTTTTTTGCTGTGTATATTGAGTATTACATATTTTTCCGATTATTGTAAATACTATATTATACATAAAAAAATATATGAAAAAATTACAGCTCGTTCTGCTGTTTTTTCGCTTCCCCACGCTTGGCTCTATTTTCATCTCGATCGCGAGCACCAATTAGCCATTTTGCAAGCGATAATTCAAAATCTTTCATCGTACATGATGATGTCAAGTTGTTAAGCTTTAAGGCTTCTATAAAAAATAATAAATCTCCAATAGCTAAATCGAATCTTAAAAATTCAATCTTATTATATTATTATCTAATTTACTATGTGTTCATTTGTATTTAATAGGAAAATTGCAGAGAAATATTAGCAAAATTTATTTAAAAAAATGAATACTAACCATAAATCACTTGAAATAGCTCAGTTCCTTTTAGCACTTTTTTATATATTATATACTTTAGCAACTTTTTACTTTTTATGTTAATTTGAATTTTAAATACACTATAGAAAAAAATAACCTTTTTTCAAATTTTTTTAAAAAATACTTAAAAATTTGTTATTCATTTGATAAAGAAATAATTAAGAAATTAAAGATATTGATTAATTTTTCAACCTTAAAATTGCTAAACTAAAATTAAAACAACATAGAAAAAGGATGGGAAAAATTACTTAGCGACCTTAGTCAGCAGTTGGGTTGCAAATTGCTCACTGCCTACCTGAATTTGGAGGGTAGAGGGTGAATAAAAACAATCACCAGAAACAATATATAATTTCGTTAATATAAAACACAATCTGCATTGTTTATCTGGCAACAACATTAAACATTTTAACATATCTAAAGTGATCTTATTTGGATATAATAGTCTGAAATAATTATAAAAATGTCAAGAGAAATATGCAAAAAATAATCTTGGAAAATACTACATTTATGTGCAAAAAAATTAAATTGTATAAAGAAGTAGTAAAAAAAAAATATCTATTTACAATATATTCAATACAGTTATTGATTGTATAAAAGATTTTACTTTAAGTTCCAAGCAAATTTTTTATTCACTTATTCCTGATGCAATAATGGCATAGCTAAATAGCTACCATTACCTAAAGGCATGACGACAAACTTCTTTCCAAGATCTAATATACTAGCATACCTTAAAATATCTGAAATTTTGTTTACAACAAATATTTCTAAAAAAGAAGAGTGAAGCGGAAAATCAAAAAAGGAACTAAATTCAGCAACAGAATTGTAAACAACAAGAATTTCGTTATTATTTGATAGAATGATATTTTTGACAAAACATAATATCCCATGAATTTTAAAACAACTGTCGCATAAAGAAGTTGAAACAAAATACTTTTTTCCTTTGTAGATTTTATATTGCTGATAATATCCTGGAGGCAAATTTGAAGGCATCAAACCTGTTAAGTGTTTTCTTTGTAAAAGTGTAGCAGCTTCTTTTTCAACAGACATTGAATTTCTATTTTGCAGTTTAGCAAATGCCTTCTCTTTACATCGTTTAATAATTTGAGAAATTGGGTTATGTGGTTTACGAATGAGTTTTTTAATCATACCTAATTTATTTTCGAAAGGAAAAGCTGAAACATTATCTAATGCTCCATATATTCTGCAGTCTTGAACCAAGTGAATTAATGTGTGAACATTATACACAAGTTGATTATCA